CTCTAATTCAAAGGAGGAAATCCTGAGTGAAATTCGGTCACAACGTTTATCCTGAGCAATAAATAGAACGTCCTACTGAGCACATTTATACCTATCCCTTAAAAGTCAACCATTGTTCAACCCAAGACTTAAGGGTGCCTTAGCTAGTTTGAGCTAATCATCATGTATATACCAATTCAACTGTTCCTGTGGAACAACTTATATAGGGTGCAACACTATTAGACACGATCGTCTCAGGATACGAGAATATTTACCGGGATGGTTTGCAAAGGGTGCGATCGAATCCATTACAAGTTATATACTAGCACAACTTTTACTGTGATATATCCCGTTCCGAAGACACTACCATCTGGGATTCGTTAACGCGTGAATTTATTCACTCACTCACTCACTCACTCACTCACTCACTCACTCACTCACTCACTCACTCACTCACTCACTCACTCACTCACTCACTCACTCACTCACTCACTCACTCACTCACTCACTCACTCACTCACTCACTCACTCACTCACTCACTCACTCACTCACTCACTCACTCACTCACTCACTCACTCACTCACTCACTCACTCACTCACTCACTCACTCACTCACTCACTCACTCACTCACTCACTCACTCACTCACTCACTCACTCACTCACTCACTCACTCACAAACCACCATGGTTAAATTTGTAAGTCTTTTCTCCTCTCCATGGAATGGTTATCATGTGAGAGTAATTTAGAGAGCAATTCGAACAGTAAGACTAGTGTGCTATCGCATAAATCTTCGTTTAATTGAGAAGTTAGGCAGCAGAATACATTGTCACAATTCATTCTGCTTAAAAGATAGCCACTAGAATCAAGGTTTATCCTAGAATATCTTCACAGTTCTGAATCGGTCAATGAAAGGTGAACTAGACGTTAAAGTATTAGTCATCTCTGTACACTTAAATGGGGTAGTTGTTTTGGACAGACTTTATTGCAATACTGCCCTATGTATTCCTCTTAATATACAGTAGGAGAATTTTGATGGTATTATGTTCTCTGAGCTTTATTCATTGTCATTCCAGACGACATCGTCAACATTAACTTCCAAAAGAAGTGAGTAATAAGATTCTCACCATCATAAGTAGTTCGTCCCGATGACTTTGGGTGTGATTAGTTTTTTTCTACAAAACTCTTATCATCGTCTTCATATGTTTGTCATCATTCAAAGAGACGAACTCATCATCATCATCATCATCAATATCAACATAGGACCAGGCATTACTGCGTAACGGTCCGAGTTGCCACAGCTCATATAAGTACATCAGGTAAAAAGACAGTGAGGTCCAAGATCATGTGGTGGTCGGGCTTGCATATCACAATGACCCAACGAGCTATGCTGATGGAACGCTTGTTCCCTCGAGGTCCTACCATACCAGAAAGGTCTGTTGGATAGTGGTTAGATGAAAAGCGGTTACCGTTGTAGTGTAAACTACTACACTATGATGGGGGTCTAAGGGCGAAGTCGTACTACTGCTAGCTGGATAGGGCGTTTCCCTTGGATGAGCAACAGAGCTATGCTGATGCTGCCTTCTAAATGCAATGGGGGGGGGGTTAGAAAAGGTCGGTCCCAAAAATAACACACTCCACCATGCCCCACGGTCCGCCAGATTGGCGGTGTTGGTTTATTTGTTTTCTTTCGACTATCCGGCCCCAAAAATACAAAAGTTCAAAATAATCATACTCAAAAGGCTGAGTGTGACAGGCCTCAAGCAGATGTCCAATAGGCTCTGCGGTCATACAAATCTCTTTCAGTCACCTTAAGAAGAAATAGCCTTCTATGGTGTGGGCAGCCGGAAAGTGTCAACCGCCCTCACACCTCTGTTAGCATTCAAAGAGACGAACTGGAAAACACTTATAAAGTGATCAAGAACGCTTTCTATGACATCAAATTCACAGCCAAAGAGGAACCAGACACAACAAAAACCTTCATTTTTAGATGTTCTAATCATCAGAATGGATTGTGGTACTGCTCTACTCTATGCAAGTATTTCATCGCATTCAAATAATATCATCACAATGTATCTATCTTCTTAGGGAATTTACATGTATTTGTGTATAACAATCAGATGACAGCTCTGTATCAATGCTATGATGAAGAATATAGACGTGTTTGGCATCTTCTCAAGACTATTAAACTTGACTGTTCATTTCTCTTTCTTGCATCTCACTTCTCAGGCATCCTACTGGATCGCTTCTTTTTCTGTTTCAAACTAAAGGTGTTAGAATTTCAGAGCGATTTGATGGTTAACTGTTTTTATCTATCCGAAGATGTTGTAAACATTTATGCATTGGAATCTTCTCCCTAAGGTATAAGTACCGAGTAAGGCATCGTCTCAACTACAGGCGGCGGGACAGATGAGAATGTCAAAGACAGGGTCGGAAACACACCAAGACAAGCCTTCATTAATGTGAAATCAGTGAGGAGATCTACTGCAATGTACTCAACATGTGGAACAAGATCCGGATTTTCAACACTAATTCAGTCAAGTCAGTGCTTCTATGCGATAGTTGAGAGACTTGGCGCGTCACAAAAAACATTTCCAACAAACTACAGACATACATCAACAGCTCCCTATGCTCGATACTGAAGATCAGATCAGAAGGCCAAGAAGAATAAGCAACAAGGAACTCACTATGGCTGGCAACGAACCAACCGACCAAGAACCGATCACCCAACAAATATGCAGAAGAAACTGGAGATGGATTGGATTTGATATAGACTGAGAAGACGGTTTGGGGACATCACGCACCAAGCCAGGCAATCGAGTGGAACCTGGATGGGAAACGGCGAGTTGGGCGTTCAAGGTTGACATGAAGGAGATCATGTGAGGAAGAAATGAAAGGTGATGGAGATTCGTGGAGCCAGGTTAAAAAAACTAGAGAGAAGAGAGTGAAATGGTGACGTGCTAGTGAAGTCCTATGTTCCACTAGGAACTAATTCGGTGGTTTAATTTCAGCAAGAAAGGTAACCTTTTATAAAACAGTCATCATTAGGATGGTCTTTAGAGACTTTTCAAATATACTACAAAGTGAAAATGAAGAATTCATCCCAGTTTCTCTTTTCACCTACACAGGACAACAATATTTTTTCAATTTCAATGAGTTAATAATATAATGTAACTCGACCTGTGGTATGCTCACCTACCAGACTATGCTATGAGCCATACTTGTGTGTATTTCAGTCAGTTTAGTACTAATACTAAACGATGTGGTTAAAGTGTGCTTATTTTGAATGACTTTAAAGGCTATACTAACAAATGACAACTGAAATGTCCAATTAGATTCTAAAGTTGATGAAGAAAACTAACTTTACAGGTTGAATTAAGAAACCTGGTCGGTTGTTTCAGTCACCGTTGGGGTGGTTTCATTTATAATACTTTATAGACATCGTCTCCGTTCATTGTCATCATCATCAATATCAACATAGGAGCAGGGAATACTGCCTGACGGTCCAACTTGACACAGCTCAATATCAGTACATCAGGTAAAAAGGCATTGAGGTGAAAGATGAAGATGAGAAAATGGTGAGATTCGGTATAGCGTCATTAGGATGAGGATAATTTGTGTGGAGATACATCTGCGCCATATCATCACCTACAATCTCCAACCACTGGTTCCTCTTGTCTCGCAGACCCCAACCACCTAGTCTGCATCGCCCCACATGACTCAAACCAACAGTCAGAGACTTCATACATTGCCGCCATGTTTTAGTCTGGACACCTCGAGCCTTTCTCCAGCCTAGACCTACTTCGGCTAACATTGTGTGATGAGGTAGACAACCACTAGGCATACGTAACACATATCCCAGTCAGCCATCTCAGTCGATGAACGTTCATAACCTCATCAACTGACTTACCTCTTCTCCTTCCCTAAAACTCTACACCTCAATTCTGCATTACTCACGTGGTGACACCACGGTACACTGCCTATACTATGAAGGCAACGGTCTTCAAACACCTCAAGACTTCTCATGTCTTCCACCTTCGATCGCCATGTTTCACAGCCATACAGTAGAACAGATCGGACTGCTGTGAAGTACACGCAACCCTTAGTAGGCAAACGGATATCAAGGCAGCGCTACAGGTGGCGTAGGTTGGCAAAAGCCAATCGAGCATATTGTATCCGTGCAGAGATTTCATCGGCAACTGACCCACCAGGGCAGTGCTGATCCTACTTTCCAGGTAAGTGAAGTGGTCGACACACTCAACCACTACACTCTCTATTGTCAGAGGTGGCCCTGTTGAAGACCAATCTTGGAGCAACAATTTGCATTTCAATGGTGAAAACCGCATCCCAAACATTCTCAAATTGCCACACAAAGTTTCCAGAAGACTCTGCATCTTGTCAGCGTCTTCACCTAAAAGGACTATGTCATCTGCATATTCTAGGTGTAACAAAAATTCTCCTGGGGTTAGGTCAATGTCTGTGTAATCAGGTGACTAGAGAGAGACCTCCATGAGAGAGTCTATGATAAAATTGAATAAGAATGGAGAGAGTAGGCACCCTTGATGGACACCACACAATAATCATAGCTTCCTGGACATCTCACCATAGGCTCTAACACGCCCACAAGTGTTCGAGTAGAGAGCCTTCATTGTGACTGACGAACAAGCTTTATATTCATAAAAACTTAGCAATCATGAAGATTTTTGTGTAGATATACCAACTATGCGATCTTGTGAAGTGGATTGTTAGGTTACTTCTAAAGTTTGATAATTTACACCAACTTTTGTTTGTTTTCTAATACACCTTTCTCTAGTGTACTAACAGTCTTCTTCTATTCACTCGTTCTTTGTATACTACTGTAAAGTGTGGAAACTTGAAATATGTGCAAGGTTCTACATTGACTATATCTGTCTATGTCTGGGGTGTTGGCCTGTATGCCGATGAGCAATATGCTTATACATTAACGTTAGTTATTTACATCATAACAGAAATAATCAGATTATTTTACAAGTTAAAACTTACTTTTTCCACCAAAGATAACGTTGGAAACGGGGTCCAACTGCAGCCAAACCATAATACGTATACATAAAAACATGAATCATACTATTTAAAAAGGCGTGAAAAGTTCCTATCCCACCTGGAAGAGAAAAAATATGTGTCAGTTTTAGTGAAAAACAGGCATAACACATCTATTGTATAACAGTTGACGATACCACTTGGCTGCCCAAACCTTGATAGGTGGGGTGGTGTTCCAACATGTGTGACCCACTTATTGCCCAACGGATAACTGCCACCTTCATATGGTAGTCGGGCTTGTGTATCACGATGACCCAACCAACTTCACTGGTTGCAACGTTTATTCCCTTGATGTCCTACCATACTAGAAAGGTTTGTTAGATAGTGATTAAACAAAAGCAGTTACCCTTAACCCTAAGTATGTTCTTAAACAAAGAAATAATGCATTATGGTAGTTTACATCAGTTATTAGTGGTGATCCAAAACCACAGGACGTATGTCCAACTACATTTCCCATACTACAGGCCACTTGTCGTGGTATCAAAAAGGCCGTACATCACCCGGCTCTGAGGTCACACAAATCTTCTCTTTCAGTTACCTTAAGAAGAAATAGCCTTGTATGATGTAGGTAGCCGGGAAGTGTCAGCCACCCGCAAGCTTACACTAGTACACAAGACCCATAGGTTGAAAGTGAACTGGTTAAACAGAATAGACTAAAACAGGGTATCAATTCAAAAAGTATCTGACTATTGATCTAAGCGGTGTATGGGGGAATGTAGGCTTCTCGGTTTTGGGTACGCATGACAACAGAGAGAAAGGGTTGGAGGGTTAGAATTAACCTTAATGGGGCACATGTATGTACAGATGTACATCATCGTACTGAATTTCTGCATTTTCTCATTCCTGCCTGCTTTCTTTGGACGAATATACACTAATTTTGACTACCTTATTCTTTATTTCTTCATCTTCCACCTTGATGCATTCTCGCTTGATGAGCTGATATGAGGTGTGACAACTTGGACTGTTACACAGTAGCGCCAAGCCTTATGCTGATTCTGTCTATAAACTTTCAGAATCAATTTACTACCATGGTGCTACATATGAACTTACCTAGATTAGATAATCCAAAGACAAAACTCTTACCTGGAACATATTTCACACCGAACCACCAAGATATAGGCATGATCGCATGATGAAACACATGAAGAAAGCTAACTAACTCAGACTTCTTTCGTAGAATAAATAATACTGTGTCAAATAATTCAATAATTTTAGTAATGAAGAAAAACCAGCAGGCTCTAGCCATTCGTATTGCTTTCGGTCGTCTTGAATGATCCACTGGTTGACAACCGAATGAATATCCACTAAGCCATCCGGATACAGCGAATTCATATACCAACCAAGTGGAAAATATCACCATAATCATATTGTAGACAACCATAAGTGGACGTAGATGAAATCCTGTAGAATATTTTTCCATAATTTTTGGACCCAACCAGAGAACAAAAGCCAGATACAATGAAACAATAATAAACACAGGTGTTGGGCTGTCCATAAGTAGCCAATTTCCAACTCGAGGATCCCCAACTGAAAAAAGACTATACATAGTGCCTAGTAAAAAAAAAATGAAGAAATTGACATGTTGACTGCACCATCTACAATTTCCAGTCAATAGGATTACACTGGCTGAAGTAATATCAAATAATATATATATATATATATATATATATATATATATATATATATATATATGAAGTTAACCAACTTAGAACCTTGTAAGTAAGCTTCTAAAAACGTCATGAAACGAAACAGATGAAATAATTGGGTGAATAGTAATCTGAAACAATGGACGAGTGTATCTATCAATCAGTTTGAAGTAACCTTTCAGACGTCTTGGATACCATGCTTCAGCCGTCTCTAACAACACACTTCATCATGTGATTTAGTGGCTACATTTCATTAGTATCCAACAACCTATACAACAAGTGATTCATGTTATACTCAACACTTCCATTGGAATTGCTCAGACAGTTACGTGTGTTATGAGTTTTAGTCAACATCCGTTCATTCAGATTAGAGTTTTGATAGTGCTTTATGCATTTGGTATGTTTCAGAACGACTTTCTTTTGATTCAAATAAAGCGTGAATGAAGATCAAATCCTAATCAAGATATTCCTAATTCTAATGTTAAATTCATTTAAAGAACTACTTCTTGCAAGTGTCGAAAGAAGCAAGTGTAACCTCAGAGAATATTATAGACTGTGAAGAGTTGCGACTACGCAACTACCTACAGGTTAGGAGAAAACTTACCAATAAATATCCAACTAGCTAACGATTAGACTGATATATACGCAACAGCAGTCATCCACTCAATCAATCAATGAATATGAACATTGGACCAGGCATTACTGCGTAGCCCTACGAGTTCCTACACGTCATATCAGCACATCAAGTAGAAAGGTAGTGAGGTGATGGATGAAGAAAAGAGAATGCAGTCAATGTAGAAAAATCAATGGGACTGGATGAGCTGCATCTAAGGCTGCTTAGGGAGCATACACTTTATGTAACCGGCCCACTGACTATATTTAGACTGCCCCACAGTGATGGTACACTCCCCTATGATTGGAAGGATGCCATAGTCATGCCTTTCTACAGGACAGGTTATAGGTAGCACCCATAGAATTAATGACCGATAATTCTGACTAGTACTGCAGTAAAAATCGCAGAAAGAGTAATTAAGAAAGCCATCACAGTTCATTTAGACAGCAACAATCTGCTGTCTCGTTCGCAGAAACTCCTCTAGTTTGACAAACTTTCTTATAGTCAGAGAAAGTTGGGTTGAGTTTAAGGATGACAGGATACCTGTAGATTTCATTTTCATAGACTTGAGTTAGGCGTTCGACAAGGTCCCTCATTCCAGGTTGTTCAAGAGACTGGAAAGTTTTAGAATCAAGTGGAATCTACTTGCATGGATCAGAGTTTCTTGTTGGTAGGAGATGAAGAGTAAGGTTTAATTTTCAATTCTCCTCTTGGAAGTCGGTAGAAAGTGGAGTGCAGTAAGGCACAGTCCTGGATGTCGTGCTAATTCTCCGATAGATAAATGAGCTGCCGAATATCACAAAATCCCCTATGTTGATGCAATAAAAATCTGGCGGGAAATTAGAAATGATGAGGGCATACATGCACTTCGGACACACCAAATTCATTATGATGGATACTTCGATCAAAAAGTTTAAGACAGCATCAACATATTAAGCAGGAATAAAACCTAACATTTTGGAAGTTTCAACACATATTAAAAACACTTCGAACAAGCGAATAATTACATTAACCTCAGTAATTCCATATATTTTCAATACCTATATTGAAAACCCATCGAACATTTGAAGCTAGTGTGATATATATGTGATGTAATATGCATTGAAACTTCTAATATATTGAGCATATGGCTCCTACTTGATGATTTGATACTTTCTCAAACGTTTTATCGGGAGTATCCATTATAATGCACTGATCCAATTGTTCCTCCATTTTTGTTAGTGGCATAAACACGCTGATTCAGTCAAGGGTTTAAGACAACACTAGGATAATAATAACTTTGGTTTAAATCTTTCTATTGAGAAACTTAAGGTGTGCAAAAGAAAAACTTACCAGTAGGTCGAACACACCTCACACAAGAGCTTTTGGCAAGGTTAAATCTCTAGGTTTAAAATAGGGGGTACTTGAGTGCAAGTTCAATTAAGGGTTAAAACAAATCTGAAATCCAGGTTTATAGTGTCATGCAACAGAGATAAATTTACCTCGAAGTTTTATCTCGTTGGCTATATATATCAACACCAACAAGTAAACATGATCCTTTTGTGTTCTGAATGTATGCATTGCCTATTTGCATGCATTACTGAACATATTTCACTTTAGGGTGTTACCGCATGTAGGCAAATTACGGCGTTTTCGCATGCTGCATGAAAATTTACTACACGTTTTAATCAGGAAAATGTGCGTTAAAGAGGGAGAGCGTCCTATAGGTCAAATAGGGGAAGCTGAATCACGTGAGGGCGGTGTTTGTGGCCGCTTGAGGCTGTACGCTGCGTCAGAAGCAGAGATATTTGATGGATGTCGTAGGCACTGTTTGAACGCAGGATTCAAGTGGAGTGTGAAGATGTATGGGCTAACAAATGTTATGCCTCCGGCCACATGAATTGGTGAGATCATCGTATGTAGCGGAAACTGTTAATTCTCATGGTTGAAAACCGAATTCGGAGAAAAAGGGTAAAATAGTTATCACAGACGAAGTGCTACACATATTTTTGGCGTCCCAGCATCCATGATTACATTGAGCTGTGAGAATATCGCAGCAATAATACTGCAATCGATGTCATGATGAATCCTGATAAACTATTATTCATATACATCAAATCGGATAGTTTGTGATATGACAACTTCTGGGTTTGTTGAGCACCTGACAGAAAGACAAAGACTGGGCAGTAAAGTCAGGGGTTAAAACAAATCTTGAATGGTGTGTGGAAACGTTGCATAGTGTAGGAAGACTTTTCTCGATGCCGCAGACTTAGAGATGCTTAGATGCAGTGAAGAAACGTATTGTGATTTCAGGAATTAGACGCGGGATGATTTATTGGACGTAAGAACTTAGTATTATGATTGGGTTTTAATCCCCATTTGAAGGAAGAGAACGCCATGTTGCAGGTAAGAATGATAGGATACTTAAAGGGATTTCAGGCTATAAGCACAAACAACCTCCAGACTCATCCGAACTTTTGATCTCGTGACTGACGTGTACCAAACCGTAGATGGTGTGCAGGTTTTCACCTCAGCATACACTGGGACGTGACATAACCAGTTTGAGACAGCCGGGAATGTGCAGACTACACTTGGAACCTGAGTTACTCTTCGGAATCGCTGCCCACGTATTGTAAATGTTTCAGAATTCTACGAGATGTAACGCTGACGCTGACCTTCATTGTCTTCGCGGACTCGGTAAGCAGAAGGCATGTGGTCAAGGATCTATGCCACCTGGCACTTTGCCGTGTTACTTTGCAGATGGGCAACTAACTAACTGATTAGTTGGAATAAATTAGTGTCTTCGACCACTTCGAATAATAAATTACACGGACACATGAAGCTTTTACGGGCAGTATCTGAATGTTATTGTTTGCAGTGAAGCTGAGAAAACTCAGAAAGAATACATCGACACACCGCACATAGTCTACCAGGATGCAGGTATTCAACAGTTGCTGGCTAAAATATTAGACACTAACTCTTTCGCTATGTAACAACAGTGAATAACACAGGGATTATCACCCAGTATGAGCTTTGAGCAGGCAACTGTGAGTAGGCTTCTACACTTCAGCCAATAAGTCGCACGATCAGTAAAAGTACGTGGAATATTAAATTCCGAGGACAAGTAAGGCTGAAAAAATGAGAATAATCAGTAAGTTTTCTGTGTTTACCGACAGTATTTAAAACGAGATTTAAATGACGAAGCTTAAAACCAGTGTCACAGGGTGTCATGCGGCATGTAGTTCTGTGTCAGCGGAAACGAATTCATAGGAATAAACTAGACTAAAGTTGCAACTCAGTGCAGCAACCGTTCTCATTTTGCAGCCCACGAAACCCAAGGTCTTATCATCAAGCCATGCAATATTTCTTCAAGGTTGGCACTTCGTATAAGGTCAGTTTCGGTTCTCTCCACTATGAGTGGGTGTCATTATTTGGAGAACCTGCATGTTTGGATACAAACAGCATGTAACGCCAACATTTCTAGTTACAATCCGAACTGGAGCCTTAAATTTGAGATGAACTGTCAAATTAATCAGTATACAGCGGTCTCGTTGTGAATCCGCCTAGGAGAAAGAAAAAGAAACATAGGTGTGGAACAATTTATTGCATACTTAGGTCAACGAGTAACAAGATATGAACAGAATAACCAAAGGAAGAGAAATTAGATGCAGATTTAGGAGTTATTGCACAACAATTATCTATATTTTCAGTAATAACCTATGGTGAGATAGTAGTCAGTGACTTTTGATGCGCGAAAGACACAAAGTATAGCACCAAAACTATTTGTCTGAACGGCGGAGCTTATCAGTCGATATGTCTACTTGAGAATTTAGGAGACCAGGAATAAGTAGTCGTCATGCATACGGGTGTATGCAGAGGCCTGTGAGTATGAAGTAAGTTTTGATATGAAAAACTGAATTGATGGGAGTCTTAGTGTGTAGAAAATAGGACAGTATGATGTTGTAGATGTTTGCGAGGAACTCTCAGGGCAGACTTTTCAGTAGCGGATTTAGACGTCGCTTTTAGTTAGGCGAGTAAGCTGTTTACCACGTGGGCTACCCTACTACGATGATACCGGTTATGCAACAGAGGGGAAACTGCTCGATACACACAGCACTTACCGTTCCAAATGAAGAGCTATTTAATTCATTGAATAGAATTTAGGGCGAGATCCCACCCATATTTGTTCCTGGGTCACTGTCAGTTTCACTACCCTGGAGACACTGAGGCCCTACGGAGCCGTCTCTGAGTACCTCTGTTGAAAGGCATCTATCTACAAACAGGCTGTAGATATCATCTGAACCCAAAAGCAGGTTGATAGATGGCGCTTAAACTGCTACACAGAGGTACTGCTGCGTACAGTTACGGGGAAACTATTCCAGATCAAGCTTTAATGTGTGGTAAAGAATTCGCATCCGACTTGTTTGTTGCATCTTTCTATTGCCAACGTCGGTGTATGATTTCTAAGGCCATATAGCAGTACATATCTCCAAGCGAGTGAGGAGGAACAGCGTGACAGATCACGTAAAGTTTTGTACAAGAGCACTAAGTTGTTTCTTAGACACCGTTTCTATAGCGGTTCGATGGACAGTGTAGCCCACCTATGTGTGGTCTACATTATCAGTGCAACTCAGTAATCATCTGGTGAAACTCCCTCGGAGGCATTCAAGTTATGATTTGTTCATTATGTTCGTGCTAGAAAAAAGAATGAGCCATATCCCAATATTGGTCCAACACATAACTTAAAAAGAGCAAGTTTGACCTCTTTTGCACAGAAGCTCTTCAGAAGGAAACCTGATAACCTTCTGGCATTAGAGACGATGGCTGTGACATGCTCACTTAAGTCAAGGTCACCAGAATATTGGACGCCCAGGTCACATACCTTATTTGGCATTTGAATTTCATGACTTCCTAAGGATAGCATGCTGCTATGATAGTTCTTTCCGAGGTGTGGAACTCCACATTTTTCATGGATGAATCCAAGTTGCCACTTCCGACTCCACTCAAGTATATGATTTAAATCTGCCTGAGCTGCTGACAGACCTTCAGTAATTGCACCATACTGGAGGCTGTAAACAGTCTTAAGGCCGTCAGCATAAAGATGTAGTTTTTCCCGTCTAACCACCTTACATATGTCATTAATATACATGAGAAGGAGAAGTGGACCAAGGACAATTCCTTGTACCACACCACTTGTAATTGGTCAAGGGTCGGAAAGGCAATCGTTTAATTTAACTATCTTGGAGCGTTCATGAAGTAATTATTCAAACCAGTTATGTAAGGGGTTTTTCACACCGAATGGCCTGAGCGTCATGTACAGTCCCTGGTGGGGCACTTTATCAAATACTTTCTTGAAGTCAAAAAAATGCAGCAGCAAAAAGGCCTTGGTCAAGCGTTTGTGTGGTATACTCGAGATAATCTAGCATGCAGGTGTCACAGGATCTGGTTTTTCAGGAACCCACGCTGCGAAGTTGATAACAAGTTGTTGTCGAATAGGTAATCCAGAACACCATTCTTTAAAATCTTCTCCATGACTCTGGAAACCACCGATATGAGATGAGTCGGACGGTAATCATCCGAATGTGCAGTTGGTCCGGACTTATGAGTGAGAATGACGTAGATAGTTTTCCAGGTGGAGGGGTAGCATGAACTATTGAGTGACATGGAAAATAACTTCAGAAAGAACAGCGGTATGTCTTCGCCTCCGTTTTTAATAACAGAAGCAGGCATCCCGTCAGGACCATCAGTAAAAAGAAGTTTTGGAGTGTCAATCGGAGCAGAAATATTTTGTACTGTAAAACTCATGTTTGCGATCCTAAAAGAAGGTGCTACTGACCGTAGGAACCCAAGTGCATCGCTCTCATTTGTCATCGAGGCAGCAAAGTGGTTCCTGAAAATCTCCACAATTTTCTTAGGGTCATCGTGCAACTGGCCGTTACCAATAATACATTTAGTCATTTTGGATTTAGATGACTTCAGTCCGGGCTTGAGAATCTTCATTAGAAATTCTTCATTGCCAGAAGACAGAGCTCAAAGTTCCTATCCGATGGTTTCATGTACACGTTGAGAATCAGCATAAGCACAAATGTTAGACGTCGTGACTAGTGAAGAAAAGTCATGTTGCTTACGAAAACGGGCAGCATGTTTCCGAAGTCGACTTCGAAGGAGAGTTGAAATAAACGGTGTTTTTGGGATCATAGGCTTAATGTTCTTTTCTGATGCAAAATAATCACGGTTGTTGCATAAGCCACTGTAAAAAGCAGTTGTCAGTGCTTCCACAGACGTACCGATAAGGTAATCTTCCCAATCTAAACACTTCAGTGAAAACCAAAAGCCCTTCCAGTTAGTGTCAATGTAGTTTCTGCACTGTACCAGCCGTCTTTTGGAGTCAACAGTAGACCCAAAAGCAAGGCAGAAAGCTACAATATTATGGTCACTTCCTGGGAATCGATAGCTAATATGTGCCACGGAAGGAATGAGATCGTCGGCCAAAGCCAAGTCTAAAACATTATGTAGTCTAGTTGGACTTCGAACATATTGAAACCACCCGTCAAACTCAAGACAGTGGAAGAAAAATTCGTATTGTCTGGGAGC